TGGCTAGTATGTCCATCTCATTCTCTTTCATATTGAGAACTGTAGACATAGTAGCTATGTGCTTTCTAAGTTTGGTTGAGGATAGCATCTCTGGATGCACCGCACCACATTCTTTGGCTACCTGGCGTAGGGAGTCTGATCCCCTGATGTGGGTGTCTGCGCCCGGGCGGGAAAAGAAGTATGGGTTATGGTCAGAGATGGAACAGGCCCTTCTGTTCTCCACCAGCACCTCCATCGAAGCAATCATTTCAGGAGTCAAAAGAACCGGCACTTTCCGACTTCTTTTCCCTTTAATTTCAATGCGTTGAAAATGCTGACACAGCTTTTTCTCAAGTTGGGGTACAGTCCCAGAGCAATGTCAGAATGGATCCCAGTCTTACTTCTTAAGGTAAAGGCTGTCAGTGGCATCTTTGAAACCTCACCTTCCATTCTTCGATTGAAAATGATGACCTCACAAAGAGTCAAAACTGCCAGTTTAGACCAATGCTTAGACGTTGGCTCACTTATTAGGGTTTGCACATATTCAGGTCGACATACCTCAATATGTGCATGCATGGCTCTAACGTCCTCAGTCAGAGGGAGCAGGTCCGGAGTGTTCCACTTGGCTTGCCGGAGGGTCTGTAGGGCAGCAGAAGAAACACAGACGTCCCACCTCTTCTCAAAAAGCAGCCGGCTTCGTTGGAGGTTTTTAATAAATAGTTCATCAACACAATGCTCCATTTTTGAGTCACATTCAAGAATATCTGCTAGCTTTCTGAGGCTATGGCCGAGTTTGAGGGCCAAGGATGGAGTCTTGTATTGATTTGTTTCCTCATCATATCCAGCCACAGACCTGACTGCATCAATCACATGGTTAAAGTTGGAAGGAATAAAGAAATCCTTCATTGTTTTCAGTTTCCCTGCGGTTTTTGCTTCGTTAATTAACCTACCGACTTCTCTTATTTTCTGCCTAATGTAATCATGCTTAGTCTTATCATGCCCGTGTTTTAAGTACAGGTGCTCTCCGAGTCTCAGAATCCCCTTTTCTGCTTTGACAACACCCGTGACCTCATCCTGATGCATTGCCGAAATTAAAGACCACAGCTTTTTGCTGATGCCCTCCGGTACAGGCTGGGCTAGGGAGCAGAGGGACTGGACCCTACTTCTACCTGGTTTAGCCTGGGCATCTTTCTGTGAAAGCCGGCATCTGGCCACATGCCTCCACAGCGACTTTCGCTTAAGCAATGCCCCATAGTCTATACAGTGCAAAAACTCACTGGATTTAACTGGGGAATTTGGCTGTTTAGCTGGGACTAAAGTTCCAATGCCGGCCTTTAAAACCTCAAAATTGTGCTCACGGTTTCCACTATTCCTGATCAAATCAAACTGAAGTTTACGTGCTTTAGATTTCACAGGTAGAGCCAATGCTCTGGCTACGTCACTTTCATTTCCATGTTTTCTAGTCAAATGACGGGACATTTTGTGGCAGGACATTGAACAGTAGAGGCTGAAGTGTCTCTTGCTGTAAACTCGCCCCCCATTTTTCTTCTTTTGCAGCTGCATGATAACAATCTTATTTGCCTTTGGTTCGTCACTTTCCGAGTCTTGAAGAAAAGTGTTTTTGATTTTTCTTTTTCCATACTTTTTTACAGGTTTCTTCTTGACAGTTAAATCGTCAGAATCTGAGTCAACTTCATCAATTAGGGACTCTTGACTAAGCTGCACAAACAACAAATAATTTGTAATCATTCTATATAACAATTTGAAGTCATGACTTGTAGTCAGCACTTACCAGTGGTTTGTAAGCGTGCGCTTCAGTGTGCTCCTCCATGATTTCTTGCAGCCTAATGAACCACACACTTGCACCTTTTTCTAGCCTGACACCTGATTTACTCTGTTGTGCTGCTCCATGATTGGCTCCAGCCTGCTGGACTGAAATTGCCCCAGTGTGCCCCTCCTTGATATCCCGCAACCCACCACCAGGGTTCCGACACATAACACACTTTTTTCAGGAAAGTAAACCTCCAGGGGTCCTTTCCATATTTTTACAGAGACTGCATAAGGACCGTTAGAAAAGCATTACCCATTGATTATTAAGCTTGGACCAGTGGGGTCCGGTGTTCGGGCCCCACCACGTAAAACCAGTCCCCATGACGTGAGTGGAATCTCAGGTTATGGAACCCACCAGGAGTTGAAAACAAGTGCACACAGACAAACAGACACACACACACAGACATACACACACACATACATACACATACACACAAACACACGCACACACGCCCCCACCCCTTCTGTTTAAACGCCCTGTTTTCAAACTCGCTGGTGGAGCTGATTGTAGCGACTGCAAAGGATTCTTGTGTCGCCACAAGGAAAATACTAAATATATATGAACTAGATCTGTGGCCCCAATACCAGAGAGAGACCAGAGCGAGACCAGAGAGAGACCAGAGAGAGACCAGAGAGAGACCAGAGAGAGACCAGAGAGAGACCAGAGAGAGACCAGAGGGAGACCAGAGGGAGACCAGAGAGAGACCAGAGAGAGACCAGAGAGAGACCAGAGAGAGACCAGAGAGAGACCAGAGGGAGACCAGAGGGAGACCAGACTGTAAACCCTGACAAGTAAAGTTTACTTGAAAAAACCATGGAAATAAATTGCGTATTAACTTCACTTGAATTCCTCGAGTACATCATTTACTTGATATTACCAAGTAAACTCGAGTGATGCAATAAAGTTTAAATTTCTACTTATGCTCCGACCGGGATTCGTACTCAGAACTCTGTGGTTGAGAGGCAATGGTGCTACCCACTCAGCCACCAAGACACCCTGACATTTACATACCTGTCTCATTAAAGACTCTACACATCAAAATGTCAAAAGTGAGGCTTACTTGAACAGAAACAGTTCAATTCAAAGAAAACCGTGAGTGACATAGGCAAGCTTTAAATAAACTAACAATAAATGAGTAATATATACTTACTGGGAAAAATCTATTTAAAATAACTTTGATATCTGAAGTAGGATTGAAGTTAGGGTTTACAGTGGGGAGACCAGAGGGAAACCAGAGGGAAACCAGAGGGAGACCAGAGGGAGACCAGAGAAAGACCAGAGAGAGACCAAAGAGAGACCAGAGGGAGACCAGAGAAAGACCAGAGAGAGACCAAAGAGAGACCAGAGGGAGACCAGAGAAAGACCAGAGGGAAACCACACAGAGAGACCAGAGAGAGACCAGAGAGAGACCAGAGAGAGACCAGAGAGAGACCAGAGGGAGACCAGAGAGAGACCAGAGAGAGACCAGAGAAAGACCAGAGGGAACCCAGAGAGAAAGACCAGAGGGAGATCAGAGAGACCAGAGAAAGACCAGAGAGAGACCAGAGAGAGACCAGAGGGAGACCAGAGAAAGACCAGAGGGAAACCACACAGAGAGACCAGAGAGAGACCAGAGAGAGACCAGAGGGAGACCAGAGAGAGACCAGAGAGAGACCAGAGGGAGACCAGAGAAAGACCAGAGGGAAACCAGAGAAAGACCAGAGAGAGACCAGAGAGAGCCCAGAGCGAGATCAGAGAGAGGCCAGAGGGAGATCAGAGAGAGGCCAGAGGGAGACCAGGGGGAAACCAGAGAGAGACCAGAGAGAAACCAGAGGGAGACCAGAGAAAGACTAGAGGGAGACCAGAGAGAAACCAGATAGAGACCAGAGGGAGACCAGAGGGAGACCAGAGGGAGACAAGAGAGAGACCAGAGGGAGACCAGAGCGAGACCCGAGAGAGACCAGAAGGAGACAAGAGAGGGACCAGAGGGAGACCAGAGAGATACCAGAAGGAGACAAGAGAGAGACCAGAGGGAGACCAGAGCGAGACCAGAGGGAGACCAGAGCGAGACCCGAGAGAGACCAGAAGGAGACAAGAGAGAGACCAGAGGGAGACCAGAGGGAGACTAGAGGGAGACCAGAGGGAGACCAGAGAGAGAGACCAGAGAGAGACCAGAGAGGGGACCAGAGAGAGAACAGAGATAGACCACAGGGAGACCTGAGGGAGACCAGAGAGAGAGACCCGAGAGGGACCAGAGTCTGGACCAGAGAGAGATCAGAAAGAGAGATCAGAAACAGAGACCAGAGGGAGACCAGAGGGAGACCAGAGAGACCAGAGGGAGATCAGAGAATGATCAGAGGGAGACCAGAGAGGGACCAGAGGGAGACCAGAGAGACCAGAGGGAGACCAGAGAGAGCCCATTAGGAGACAGGCCAGTCCTCAGCAGGGGAGGAGGAGGAAGAGTAGGAGGTTCACGATTGATGTCAGGGTGGATGGTGTTCTCGTAACCCCAACCTCTGACCCCTTTAACTCAGATCCGGATCAAACAACTTCGACATCCGGGATTCTTAATGAGACACACACACACCACACACACACACACACACACACACACACACACACACACACATACACACACACACCTAAACAGACACACACACACACACACCTAAACAGACACACACACACACACATATACATGCCTGCACCAGACGCACACGCAAACGCACACACACATCTACAGTACACACACACATACATGCCTGCACAGACGCACACATTCACACACACAGACACGCGCACACACAGGTCAGGTCCTGTAATCCTGGCGGCTGAGGTGACGGAAAAGGTTTGGGTCAATTGAGAGTAATCTGTGTAATCTGCATCTGTGGACGTCATTAGCAGAGATTTGATTACAGCTGAGTGGATTATGGGATCCACACATATAAAGGTCCCCACAGAGTCCGCACCAGAGACCAGGGATCAGGGACCGGAGACCAGGGAGACCCTAGACCAGAGAGGCCAGGGACCACAGACCAGAGCGAGACCATGGCGGAAGAGTGGGGCCGGCAGGTAATGGCAGCTCGCAGGTACAATGAAGACACGACCCGAGGATCCATGTTCACCTACACCAACTCCAACAACACCAGAGGTGAGGCCCTCCCCTTTAACACAGGTGTAATGTGAGGTCTGTAACACAGGTGTAATGTGAGGTCTGTGACGCAGGTGTAATGTGAGGTCTGTACACATGTGTAATATGAGGTCTGTAACACAGGTGTAATGTGAGGTCTGTGACGCAGGTGTAATGTGAGGTCTGTAACACAGGTGTAAAGTTAGGTCTGCAACACAGGTGTAATGTGAGGTCTGTAACACAGGTGTAATGTGAGGTCTGTGACGCAGGTGTAATGTGAGGTCTCTAACACAGGTGTAATGTTAGGTCTGTAACACAGGTGTAATGTTAGGTCTGCAACATAGGTGTAATGTGAGGTCTGTAATACTGGTGTAATGTGAGGTCTGTAACACTGGTGTAATGTGAGGTCTGTAACACAGGTGTAATGTGAAGTCTGTAACACAGGTGTAATGTGAGGTCTGTAACACTGGTGTAATTTGAGGTCTGTAACACAGGTGTAATGTGAGGTCTGTAACACTGGTGTAATGTGAGGTCAGTGACACAGGTGTAATGTGAGGTCTGTAACACAGGTGTAATGTGAGGTCTGTAACACTGGTGTAATGTGAGGTCAGTGACACAGGTGTAATGTGAGGTCAGTGACACAGGTGTAATGTGAGGTCTGTATCACAGGTGTAATGTGAGGTCTGTAACACAAGTGTAATGGGAGGTCTGTAACACAGGTGTAATGTGAGGTGTGTAACACAGGTGTAATGTGAGATCAGTAACACAGGTGTAATGTGAGGTCTGTAACACAGGTGTAATGTGAGGTCTGTAACACAGATGTAATGTGAGGTCAGTAACACAGGTGTAATGTGATGTCTGTAACACAGGTGTAATGAGAGGTTTGTGACACAGGTGTAATTTGAGGTCTGTAGCACAGGTGTATTGTGAGGTCAGTAACACAGGTGTAATGTGAGGTCTATAACACAGGTGTAATGTGAGGACACAGGTGTAATGAGAGGTCTGTACACAGGTGTAATGTGAGGACACAGGTTTAATGTGAGGTCTGTAACACAGGTGTAATGTGAGGTTTTTAACACAGGTGTAAGGACAGGTCTGTAACACAGGTGTAATGTGAGGTCTGTAACACAGGTGTAATGTGAGGACACAGGTGTAATGTGAGGTCTGTAACACAGGTGCAATGTGAGGTCTGTAATACAGGTGTAATGTGAGGACACAGGTGTAATGACAGGTCTGTAACACAGGTGTAATGTGAGGGGTGTACCACAGGTGTAATGTGAGGTCTGTAACACAGGTGTAATGTGAGGACACAGGTGTAATGAGAGGCCTGTAACACAGAATCCTCCTACAAAGTTAGATTCTTTGTAATATAAGATAAGATTAGATAAACTTTATTGATCTCAGATTGTGCCAAAGACAGAAGTGTGAAACATATTTAAGGTTACAGTCTGTGCAGGAGATAATGATGTAGAATAAAAAGTGGCAAAAGCAGCTGGTTCTTCAGTCCTGGTGCATTAGTGACTTAAAGTGACTTATTCTACAGTCTGACAGCGGTGGGGATAAAGGCCCTGCTCCTTCTTGCACTGAAGGAGCTCCTCAGTCCTGTTGCTAAGGCTAAGGCTGGGGTTTCCGGTGTTAAATTAAGTTCTCTGATTGGTCAGTCCTTCACATCACAGAGAAAACTGCGTCTTTAAGTGGCATTTAATCATCAGCTTTGAAGATTTAACACATAACACATTGGCCATACGTGTACGTGTACAAAACTTAACAAAAACAAACGGTCAACAAAGAAATACGGCTACCCAGATCCCTACGACTTCTCACCTGAACGCCGGTGTCTGCCATATTTAAAGTTCCCGGCATATCCCCAGAGCTCACGTGACTCACGCACCTCCCCATGACGTTACCATGGCAACCCCACACATTATGGCTCTCACAACACTGGTCCAGACCAGAGCAGAGATGATTCATGGTTTTACACTGGTCCAGACCAGAGCAGAGAGGATTCATGGTTTTACACTGGTCCAGACCAGAGCAGAGATGATTCATGGTTTTACACTGGTCCAGACCAGAGCAGAGAGGATTCATGGTTTTACACTGGTCCAGACCAGAGCAGAGAGGATTCATGGTTTTACACTGGTCCAGACCAGAGCAGAGAGGATTCATGGTTTTACACTGGTCCAGACCAGAGCAGAGAGGATTCATGGTCCGAACCAAGTGGATCAGGTGAAAATCCACTGGAGGAATGCTAACTTTATGAAAAATGTTAAGGAAGCATTTAGCATTTTACTTTGGACCAGAGCAGAGAAAATGGTCTGAACCAAGCTCCACCTCTGCTGCTGTGACTGAAGGACTTATGGATTTTAATATTATTGTTAGATACTTTTAGAATTATATATTTATTTGTTTTGTTTGTTTGGACGCCTGTATTTCTCCAACAGGATCATAATCAACAAACTCCAACATGTCACAACTCGAGCCCCATATGAAACAAAGGTTATATATTAGATGTATTGCAGACCCAGACCCAGACCCAGACCCAGACCCAGACCACAATCGTCACGTTGCTTCCCTCATTTGTCTCCTGAAACTAAAACGCAGTTATCCGTCGCTCGTAGAAGTTTGGCGGATGGAGTATTTCTGCCGTGATGTGAACTCATGCAGACTGGCCTTTTCACTGCAGCCCCAAACATCTGAGCAGTGGCGCAGCGTGCACGTGGCTTTGATGAGGCGTGTGCACGAGAGACGAGGGGCCAGGACATGGGCCCCCCACAGTAATCATCCGTCAACAACAAGAGGCCATCCCCGAACAACCCCCACCTCCGTGAACCAGCGGCAGCACAAAGTCTGCCCGGGACAGGAAGAGAAGAAAGAGCAGGACTTTTGTGTGCGCTGAATTGGTGGTAAATGGAGATTAGCGGGAGCTTTAGCCGTGCGCACAAGTGCCTGATGAGGAGCGCTCCGTGAAAAGGACCAATTAAGTCTACCAAATGTTAACTTACATCAGTTTCCCCTCAGTTTAGCCCACATGAAACTCCAATTAAAGCATCCCCAGTTAGCGGCTCTTTCTCCCGTGGGGTGTGAGGGCCACGGAGCCACTTTCCCACAACATCTGAGCAGCACCATTGTCCACTTCAGCTGCGGCAGAATCAGAGCTGGAATACCAATGAAGCCCTGAGTCTGCAACACACTTCAACCAAGAACATGTAGATTGACTATGGCACTAATTAACAAGGAATAATGCAAACTTTTTTTCTTTTGTTTTGACTGCCAGCCGTTTTTGATGATTTCACTGACTTTCAAGACCTACAGAATATGATGTGCTATGACTATGTGAAATATGAAACCAGATTATGAAAGACTGGGTTGTCTACTTTCATCAGCAAAAATAAGTTTGTTTCTAGCTGTTTTTGTTGTCCTGTAATCCCCAGTGGAATAGAGGGAAGTCTGACAGAAATGACCAGTCTCAGACAAATCCGTCAATGGCAGTCCATGAGTTAATAATCCCAACTCCAAATCTGATTATTATGTTGGTTCCTGTTATGTTTTTTTTTTCTCCTTATTCTTCCTCTTCTAGAAATCAAAAAGGACATTACATATGTGTAGGCATGTAATAATTAATGCTAGGACAACTCAAAGTGTGGGGGATGCGGGCGGTAGAGGGATAAATGTATTTACTTTTGCTGTCTTGTGCTATTTCCAACTGTTGCCTCGATACTTGGTGCTGAATAAAATAAATTACAATTAAAACAAAAAAAGGATTAATACAAACAATATGTATAATCAGTATCTATTAGAACTTTTCCATTTCTCTTCAAATCCAGTTTTTATGCAGCAACAAGTTTCCGTGTAGAACAGAAGCCGTTTGTGTGTGTTTCTTTGGCTGATTGTGTTGTCGCTCAGACGCCACTCGAAGGCCACAGACAAAAGGACATCCTGACGTTCACAGGTTTTTACTCGGGTCGATGCCGTCGAGACAAATATTGAGGTGCTCAAAGCCTCGGGCCTCGTTAGTGCTCACTCCCCACAATGCACTGCTCCATTGAGAGCCGTGAGGGGTTAATGAGCTCCGCTGACATCGGCCCGAAGACCTGGGACAGAAGACCTGGGACCGAAGACCTGGGACCAAAGACCTGGGGCCGAAGACCTGGGACCGAAGACCTGGGACCGAAGACCTGGGACCGAAGACCTGGGACCAAAGACTCGGACCAAAGACTCGGACCAAAGATAATATGTTGTACCAAACAAATCAAAACAATGTATTCTTGTTTAGCCCTACAGTAAGGCTACACTACAGTAAATCACAACAGCATCATCTCAGAGGACGTCACCAGCACAGATCAGAGACAGCTGAAAAAATATAGAACACATGGTATTGGACCATCACAGTCCTTTTTAGACATTAACTGTAACAGACTCCTACATCAGAGGAAAAACTCTGAAACCCAGGACTCAGACTGTAGAACGAGGACTGAGGCTGTAGAACAAGGACAGTGAGAGAACATGAGACAATGTAAAAACATGCCGCACCTGTCTGAGTACGCTGCACCTGTCTGAGTATGCAGCACCTGTCTGAGTACGCTGCACCTGTCTGAGTACGCAGCACCTGTCTGAGTACGCTGCACCTGTCTGAGTACGCTGCACCTGTCTGAGTACGCTGCACCTGTCTGAGTACGCTGCACCTGTCTGAGTACGCTGCACCTGTCTGAGTACGCTGCACCTGTCTGAGTACGCTGCACCTGTCTGAGTACGCTGCACCTGTCTGAGTACGCTGCACCTGTCTGAGTACGCAGCACCTGTCTGAGTACGCAGCACCTGTCTGAGTACGCTGCACCTGTCTGAGTACGCTGCACCTGTCTGAGTACGCTGCACCTGTCTGAGTACGCAGCACCTGTCTGAGTACGCAGCACCTGTCTGAGTATGCAGCACCTGTCTGAGTACGCTGCACCTGTCTGAGTACGCTGCACCTGTCTGAGTACGCAGCACCTGTCTGAGTACGCAGCACCTGTCTGAGTATGCAGCACCTGTCTGAGTACGCTGCACCTGTCTGAGTACGCAGCACCTGTCTGAGTACGCTGCACCTGTCTGAGTACGCTGCACCTGTCTGAGTACGCTGCACCTGTCTGAGTACGCTGCACCTGTCTGAGTACGCTTCATCAGTCAGAGTACGCTGCACCTGTCTGAGTACGCTGCACCTGTCTGAGTACGCTGCACCTGTCTGAGTACGCAGCACCTGTTTGAGTACGCTGCACCTGTCAGAGTAAGCTGCACCTGTCAGAGTAAGCTGCACCTGTCTGAGTACGCTGCACCTGTCTGAGTACGCTGCACCTGTCTGAGTACGCTGCACCTGTCTGAGTACGCTGCACCTGTCAGAGTAAGCTGCACCTGTCAGAGTAAGCTGCACCTGTCTGAGTACGCTGCACCTGTCTGAGTACGCTGCACCTGTCTGAGTACGCTGCACCTGTCTGAGTACGCTGCACCTGTCAGAGTAAGCTGCACCTGTCAGAGTAAGCTGCACCTGTCTGAGTACGCTGCACCTGTCTGAGTACGCTGCACCTGTCTGAGTACGCTGCACCTGTCTGAGTACGCAGCACCTGTCTGAGTACGCTGCACCTGTCTGAGTACGCTGCACCTGTCTGAGTACGGAGCACTTGGGCCCCTCTGAAAATCACCCAAAGCAATCGTTTAGAAAGACTCCAACACAGAGTCATCAGGATCATGCAGCACTTTTTCCGTACACACAGTCACAGATGGAGACTACACTGACTTGAAACTGGCTTCTTTAAAACACAGAAAACACTTTGCACTAATGTGTTTTGGAAGTTATCGCACGGACGACTCCCACGGGCCTCGACCCCCAACAACAAAAATAACTATTACAACAAGGAACCGAACTCTCCTCCGAGCACTGGACGCTCTCTGTTCTTGTTTGTACAAAGCTCCTGGATAAAGTGTTAATTTGAATTGTCTACAAATTTTGACATTTCTCAAACTGATGCTGCTATTTTTACTCCAACACATAATAATAATAACAATTATTGAAAATCTTTGTAGGGGCGCTAACAATTGTCTTGTGGACGATCTCTTAATGTTAATTTGAAAAACTATTTTGGAAAACAAGTAAGAATTGTCAACAATACTAGACATTTCTCATCCTGTTTGATGCTATTTTGACTCTGACACACACAGGGTTTACTTTGCCATTTCGTACACACAAGTCTCCGGCTGTGTCTGTGGCTGCTGTGTGGAAAAGTGCAATGATTAAAGAGCAATCAGGGACTTCATTAGACCACACTGAAGCGCCGGGGACGCCGTGGGCTGGAAATAAACCAGTCCAAACAAAAGGCTTATATGTACACACACTATCCGCTCCTTCTTTCACTCTCAGACCACTTATTGCAGCAGTCATTGTGAATACCGCCACACAATCTGACTTTACCAAGAGGCGGCAGAAAGACATTCGCCGAAGCGCGATCGATACCGGCTCTGAAGTGGAATTCAGCCGGCCGAGCCAACCGCTGCGAGGAGGGAGTGTGCTTAAGACCAAGAACCAGGCATTTTCACATTACATCTTTGAGAACGTCTGTACACTGGGGTTTTCCACTCAATCAGATACTAAGGATGTCGAAACCATATTCATTCGAGCAACAACCATTATAGACATAAACAAACAAATCTAAACACACATTTACTATGAAGTTTTTTGATTTTTAAAACCTTGTGGTACAATATGACTAGTGGCCTGGCCTTACCACACCACGGTACTCATTTCATTTGGTACTAAGGTCTGGATCTGCTCCATTGAGCTCTGTTTACAGGTGGGAGGGGTTAAATCTTTTTGCAGATTGAAACCCGCCTCCGCTGCTCGTTGATTGGTCGGATTCAACCAAGGAAACTGCAGCCACTAGGATCAGACCCAGACGTACATGTAGGAAATGATCATGGACCAGAGTTTACACATGGTAAGACCAGACGTACATGTAGGAAATGATCATGGACCAGAGTTTACACATGGTAAGACCAGACGTACATGTAGAAAATGACCATGGACCAGAGTTTACACATGGTAAGACCAGACGTACATGTAGGAAATGATCATGGACCAGAGTTTACACATGGTAAGACCAGACGTACATGTAGGAGATGATCATGGACCAGAGTTTACACATGGTAAGACCAGACGTACATGTAGGAGATGATCATGGACCAGAGTCTACACATGGTAAGACCAGACGTACATGTAGGAAATGATCATGGACCAGAGTTTACACATGGTATGACCAGACGTACATGTAGGAGATGATCATGGACCAGAGTCTACACATGGTAAGACCAGACGTACATGTAGGAGATGATCATGGACCAGAGTTTACACATAGTAAGACCAGACGTACATGTAGGAAATGATCATGGTCCAGAGTTTACACATGGTAAGACCAGACGTACATGTAGGAAATGATCATGGTCCAGAGTTTACAATACAATACAATACAATACAATACAATACAATACAATACAATTTATTCTTGTATAGCCCTAGGTCACAACAGAAGTCATCTCAGAGACTTAACAAAACCATTGAAATCACCAACACAGGTCAGAGAATCAACAGTTAAAACACATGAAGAATATAAAGCACACACAGAAGAAAATGTCCATACATGTTGTAGAATGCTAAAGTGTCCTGATCATCACCAATCCTTTCTGTTGGACACTAACTGTCCAACAAGACCCTCCTCCATCGACAAGGAACAACTCTTAAAAAACCCAGTGGGAAAAAGTGAGAAACCTTGGAGGAGAACTAGGGAAACCCACAGGGAGGGAGACCCATATGAGAAAGGGATCCGCTCCTCCGGACGGACAGACTAATGATCCAGGACCTAAGCTAGCTACAGAACGTGGACCAGTGGACGCTGAACGTGGACAGGTCCGGTGCAGGACTGAAGCACTCCCAGGCGGGTCGGGCGGGGCAGTCCGCAGGTGTAGATGGAAGAGGCCAGGCTCAGAGATCCCGTCATCGTACCATGAAACAGACAATGGGACAACGGGTGAATAGCAATGAACAAACTACAGTTAGAATCCTAAAAATGCTAAACAGATAAAGTAGGAAGGAGGAGAGGATAGTGCTCAAGTTACCATACTTCTCCCAGCAAACTGACTCCCTATGCAGCTTGACTA